TGGTGGCGCATAATAGTCCCAGCTACTCAGGAGACTGAGGCAGGAGAATCATTTGATCTCAGAAGTTTCAGGTTGCAATGAGCTATGATGATGCCACTGCACTCTAGCCCAGGTGACGACAGAGCAAGACTCTGTCTCAAAAAAATAAAAAAGAGAGGCATTGACCAATTTATACAAGTATTACAGATGCAGTCTTTGGCTTGGCTTCTAAACCCCAAAAGGTTTTTAAAAGTCTAATCCAAAATTCCTTATGAAAAAGTTCTAGCAAAGTTGGCTTAAAAGTAGCCTGTATGCCCATTCAATATTCTTGCTGTATTTTATGCAAATAATTAGGCTAAGTATAATAAGACTTAAACTGATTATGCCAATAAGTTGGTCTTACTATAATTTATCTTTAGTAAAAATGGGGGAATGGAGAGAGAAAAATTATGTTTTAAAAGAAAACTGTAATATACCTATTATTAGATTCTAGCCATGTCTATTATTTTTGAGTTTTTATTATTTGCCTACAATTTGCATTAATTCCTGAATTCTTCCCTGGCTACAAGTCTCAAACTAATGTTTTCAAAATTTTCTCCCATTTTTCTTACTTGGAATTACTAGAGATTAAAATTATATTTGTCTGAAAGCCTTGCAAACTGAAGCTGGACAACTTGATACAAACTTCAGGAGAAATCACTACAGCAACTTCTATATAAACAGCCGACATACCTGTTGATGTATGGACTGTTCACCTGAACACCTCATTCAAACCACAATCCCGGAAAATCTATCAGACTGGCACTGCCTGCCTGCTTCAACTGATGCTTCAAGCCCAAATGTAGGAATCTTCTCAACTGACTGCCTCCAGATTCTAAAGAAACTTTAGAGATTGTTCTAAACATTAACCTTTGTTTTGCTTCTGTTTTCGTAGAAATGTCTCTTATTAAAGATCAGTTTGCTTGAATCATATATAAAAGCCTAGTTTTGAGAGCCCATCTGCAATGCCACCTGCTGGAATGGGATACAACTGTTTAACTGAACTCGGCTGTTCTCACAACTAAAAGTTTGATTAAAGGATATGGGGTGATATACTTAAATTTGTTCCTATCTACTCTTCCCAATTTGTTTTCCTCCTCCTTTGCCTATCTCTTACCTCAAAACTCCAACCCAATCTCTCCAAGGCTACTTTACCAATGCTACTTTAATATGTGAAACTTTCTAAAAATAAAGTTTCAAATGGTAGACTAAAGAAAACCAAAAATATTTCACCCCAAAATATACATCTTTGGCATATTTCAAGATGGCTATTCAGAAGGCCTGCCAACACAAGAAGAGCCCTGCAAAACTGTCTTTTATGGAAAGATATGAATCTGTAGAGGAAATAAAATGAAGTAAACAACAGATGCAAACAGGCTCTCTCTGAAGACACCCTTGTCCGGGATCTAGGAAAGATTAACTGAGTCTGACATCTTTGAAGGTCTCACAAAGAAACATTTACCACAGGCTCTCAAAATCGGTGAGGTTTCATGTGCATAACAAGACCATCTTTACTTCATGCTTTCCTCTTCTTTCCCTCCCATAACATGTCTTGCCACTATAACCTGTCTTGCCATGTTCCAAGCCCCTGTTCTTTCTGCATCCTCAGGATAGTATTAAAACATCAACCATCTGGCCATTTATTTGAGCTTTTCATATTTTGTATGACTTCTGTGCTCGTGTGCATATTCATAAATTTGTACAACTTTTTTTCCCATTAACATGTCTATTATCAATTTGCTTTATGGACTCAAATTATCAAGCCTTCAGGCAATAAATTTAAACTTCCCTACACTTTGCACATATAAAATAACTTGAAATTTTCTAAGTCTTAATTTATGTACACCCATATTCATAAGAGCATTATTCACAATAGCCAAAAGGTGGAAGCAACCCAAGTGTCCATCAGCAGATGAATAAACAAAATGTGGTCTATACATACAATGGGATACTATTCAGCCTTAAAAAGAAAGAAAATTCTGACACATACTACAATATGGATGAATCTTGAGGACATTATGCTAAGTGAAATGAGCCAGACACAAAGGAACAGATGCTACATGATTCCACTTATATGAGGTACCTAGTGTAGTCAAATTCACAGAGACAGAAAATAGAATGGTGGTTGCCAGGGTCTAGTGGGGAGGAGGGAATGAGAAATTATTGTGTAAAGGAAACTAAGTTTCAGTTTAAGAAGATGAAAAAGTTCTGGAGATAGAATAATAGTCGTGACTGCCTAAAAAAGAGAATGTGCTTAATTACTGAACTGTATACTAAAAAATGGTTAAAATGGTAAATTTTGTTATGTATATTTTATGGTTCTTTTAAGTTTTCAATTAAAAAAATTGTGATGATATAAATGTCCATCCATAGAAGGCCAATAAAAGAAACTTTAAAAATCATACAAGGAAAAAAAATCATAAAAGGGAACACCACAAAATCAAAAAGAATGAAATAGATCCACATACGCTGGTATGGAATGCTCGCCAAGGTCACCAAAAAACCCCAAGTTCATGAACAATAGTTATGGAATGCCACCACGGACACTGCATAGCATACCTCATTACTGTGACTGCCTCTGGGCAGGAGGACAGGGAGCATGGGGTTCAGGGCTGAGTTTAGGATTTTCTATTCAAAGAAATCAATTCATTTTTGGAAAAGATCAATCTTCTAAATTATCCATAGTACTGAGAGAGAGGAATGAAAAAAATAAACAGAACTTACACCTAATGCTCCAATTCTGGGCAACTGAATTTCAGAGAGGTTGAGTGACATGCCAAAGACACTCTGGTGACAGACCTGAGACCAGTTATCCAGCATATACTTTTTCTAAATGCTTGAAATATTTAATAAAAGACTTGTTTAAAATGTCTCCTCTATTGCGAGCTTTTTGAAGCAAGAAAATATTGTTTTCCCCCATATAAACTACGTTTGGGAAAACTTTCAAATTTAGTAGTTTTTTATTTGTCAGCATGCTTTCCATGTTTGGTAACATTTGTCCCTTTATGTAATTTGTTTTTAGATATTCAACTGTCTTTAATAAAAAAAAACATTTTCTAGTCATTTACTATTTGGGGCTTTCATTGACCATTATTTTAATCTAATTTCCATGTTTGTTGTTCACATACCCAAAAATGTATAAATAACAGATTTTAAAAGCAAAATAGAAAATTTTAAGACATCATAAAAAATTATACGTTCACACATGCATATGCATATATATCTATACATACATACATATATACATACGCATCCTGATTCCCAATTCAACACTTTTCCCATTCTGTCATACTTTAGCAGTTTAAACTTTAAAAGCATAGTCCTCAATATCTCTTAAAGACATGACATATGTCTCTGATTTATAGATAAAAACTCATATCCTCCACAAGGTGGTTTTCAACCAAAGAGCCTGCTTCAAAGTTTACCAACCACCTTCAAGCTGTAACTGCAAAATCCAGTTAGTCCACAAGGTGGCACTGGATACCTTTGGTCAAAGTCCATAACCCAGTAAGAGTTTCTAGAAAACAGGGTTAGAGAAGTGCCTCTGGCATCAGCAAAGATTAAAAATTGAAGCTAATATGAAAGACATCTTGTTCCTGTCTGGAGGCATGGCTGCCAGCCAAAACATATTTGAAGCTCTAATTACATACTCAAAGGACTTATCCAAAATGCCAAGCATAAGTTATAGACCACCTATGGTAGAGTATGTTACTTTCAGTGGCAAATTCACATCTGTTCCTTTGGACACACTTCATTAATAGTACTTGATAATCTTAAACATATTTCCTCAAACTCCCTCCTAATCACCACCCCCCAATGTATATGTGTGCATATGTGTCTATCAAAGACACACCTACACAAACACACACAAACCATGAAATATATTTTGGGGGGATTGTTTTGGTAAGAACTCATATCCATATTAAATAATATTCATACTTCGCAATGGGTAAATGTCTTTATCTTTTTGTAAATTCTTAATTTTCAGCAGCTTATGAATATCCCACAAGAATAAAACTTGGTGGGTTAAGTAAGCTTCAACTCAAACGATGTCTTAAAATTCATCACAAAAAGATCTATTTACAATCTTATATCAATTTATAATAGATTGGGAAAGTTCATCGCTAGCCTTTACGTACATGAAATTTTAAAGGATAACACCCAACACTTGATCTTGAACAGATTTTCAGCCAATGAAGAAACCTCAGAAATGCCTAAAGAAAAGCTAAAAATCTCTAGTGGTTTGAGACTTTTAAAATGCCCATCATCATGGCTTTTGTGGAAGCAAAAAAATCTCTTGCGGATGATTTAAACATTGTGTTGATGCCTTGACTATTTCACAACACAAAAATTCAATGTGACTCATTCACTTCATTCAGAAACATTTTTCTGTGCAGACCCAAGAATTTTCCCCACAACAGTGTGTCTTGCATCCGATTAAACGAAGCATAACAGCATCTTACAGCCTATAATCTACTTTTTAAAATAAGCATTTAAATTCGAAAGCACACTGCATACAGTAAAACAGAGTGCTTAAGGGACCACATCTCAACAACATATCACATATATAAACTGTTTATATTTGTAAGAGTATTTTAAATGTGAAACACCCAAAAGATTAATGGGTGTATGCTTTTTAAGATGTTTATTTCCAGAAGCAGTGGTTATGGTCCTGTGAAGGCCAGATTTTCTCAGAATTTGAACGGAAGATAAATATTAAAATATACCATTAAAACTGAGAACACACTCCAGTCCCAGGCCAACTCCAGTGACAGGTAGAAGGGCAGTGTGGGCAGCAAGGTCGATTCTACCGCAAGCCCAAGAGCTGACGGTACTCCATAAGTTTAAGAGGTCTATGGCAGATTACATGCAGACTGATGAATGGGAAATTCACAGTCATTGACAATCAGCATCAAAATAACACCTCAGTGCTGACAATTTACCTTCTTCTCTTGATCTCCAACTCATAACCGAACAATTTCCAGACAAGACTCAGAAACCATTTTATTAAATTGAACACAAAATGCTTGTTATAATAACATCAAGCCTTTATCAGAAATCAGTACATAAGTGTGGATACACAGCCAAAATAAGCCATCAACATAAGCAGTGTAAATTTTAAATAACTTTCAGATTTCTATATTCAATATGCTAAAGAAAATAAAACCAAAAAGCAATTTTAATTTCACAATTCACAGTTGATTGGTTTTAATCCCATGACACATTTGTCACTTCTGTAGCCCCAAAACACAAATTTCCAAAGCAGTGACTGGCACTTTGCCCCAATAGCATACACAGATCTTAAACCCCTGTATGACATTTAGAGAAAAGTTTAAGAAACAACTCCAATCTCATAACAGTTTGGCTGGCATGTTTTAGCTGTAGCCTTTACCAAAGTATATGGTTCTAGTGAAGTAGCAAAAGCAGTTTTAAAAGTTTGCCATGCCATTAAATGAAGGATTCTAAAGTCTCCCTTGGTTTTCCATGATTTATTCTTGAATTTAAAACAACAGCTGCATTTAAATGCAATCTTAGCAGTGAAAGCAATATCCGTTTTGCTTCTGGATCTAGAGTATACATCCAAGAGAGGCAATTTGTTGTCCTAGCAGATATACGGAATGCAGGATCTGACATACTCCAGTAAGGCATTTAAAAGCATACACACAAGACCCAAACTAAATCATCATGGTCAGCTGAGGATACCACAAGGTGAACACCAATTAACAGAGAGTCAACACCAAACTCTTACAAAATGACATACTAATTTACAAAACCACAAAAAGGTACGCAGGTACCAAAAAAAGGCAAAACAATGACCAGCCACTCTAGAAGAGTTTTGTTCCTGTAAATGCCAGATTTGCAAAGTAGAAATAAACTGCTTTATATGTGCTTTGCCCTAGGATAATATCGTTCATCCTGATACATGGAATTACTTTTTCTTAAAAATATACATCATGTAGAGGATACACATATAATCAGTGATACAGAATATTTATTTTCACTAGTGAGGGGGTCACTTAAGCACTTACATGGAAAGAGTTATGAGTGGATCATGAAGGTCAGTTAAATGAAGAAGAAATCTGATAAACCCAGCATTATTAGTTAGTATTCAACAGTGCAGTGAGATTTATTTTAGGCACTGCATCAGGCTTAATTAGGAACTATGACCATGAGAATATTTGTAAATTCAAAAAATTGTGAAATGTCTAAAAAAAAAAGTCTAAACAGTAAAAATACATGTTTTCCTTTTAAGGGCCCAAAGGAATCGTTTAATTATCTAGGAAGCCATGAATCTTATCAAACAAGCACAAGAATATGAATTTGGAACATTTAAATTTCAATTTTACCCATTTAATCTTCATGACCTAGAGCAAGTCACTTAACTTCTTCAGATTTTATCCATAAAACATGGCCATAAAAATAAAGGCATATGTCAAAGAAGTTTTCTAAACATTATACTAAAGTTAAAGATTGTTACCAAGGCTCATAACTTCAACAACTCATTGTACAGTATGATCACTTTTAATTCTGCTAATTATAGCTAGAGGAAGCATGGTTAATTACAATTATCAGGGAATTCAAATCAAATCCTTTAGATAGTTTCAACTTTCTAAACCACGAGTCTGTTCTCCTAGAGTTGTTTACAGCAGCTAGTCATATATGGGTTTGACCCTTACTCCCCTCTACCTTCTGGTGCAGCAGCTGAAAGTAGTGAAAGGAGATGTGACAACCAGGAGAAAAGCAGCGATAGATTGATATGAGGTATAAGCTGATTTCATAAACCCCAATCAGTAAATTTACAGTTTTTTGAAGAAGCTGCATAGTTTGGCAAAAATATAAGAGGGAGAAAGAAAAAAATTATCATGAAATTTTAAAATGTATGCCAATTAAGCATTTTAAATGACCAATTCTAGAAAAGAGTTCAGTTTGAAAAGTTGTCTTCCTTCACTCTAAGCACAGACAAGAACAGAAACTGGAAGACTAAAGTTCACAGGAGGAAAACAAGTATGTTCATTGGCCAGGTTATCAACTTTATACACTGCTTTCCAAAAGATTCTTAAACAAATGTTAAACCCTAGTCATCAACACCTATGCTAAGTGTTTAGGGGGTGTGTGTACTGTCTGAAATTTACGCTGAAATATATTTTTTAAAAACCCACTGGACGGAGGGATGTCTAAAGGGACAGAGAGATGAACAAATGCATGATAATACAAGCACAGTAAAATGTTGATGGTAGAATCTAGGAATGGGTATATTGTAAACTTTTTTCAACATTGATATATGTCTGAAATTTTTCATAAAAAATGTTGAGGAAAATGGTAATATCTCTATAATAAAATTAATTTAGCAGTGTGTTTCAAAGATTCTAAGTACTCAGGCAATTTAGAATTTTAAATTAATTGAACTAGGGAAAATTTTGCTTTAAAAGGCCTCAAACCTGATTTGTGAAGATGCCCCTTTTAATGTAGACATGAACTAACACAATTAATAATTATTGTGCCAGTCTCTTCATACACTTTGCCAAATACATAATTCTTTCCTCTACAGAAAAGACAAGTTTGAAAAAGACTACTGGAATAAAGAATTTTTCCAGACATTAGTGTCAAGCTCTCCCAACCTGCCACACTACCATTCACTAAGCTGAAATGTAACACATATCGTGGTGAAAAATGATCTATGACTGTCTGCTAGCCTGGGACAACTGGATTCGTCTGCAGGGTGTATGGTTCCTGATCAATAATGACAATAGTTTCACTTGGTATCAAATTGAGATTGCATTAGGAAAAAATGTAGAACAGAATTCACACAGACCTTTGTTATTCCAAGCTCCTGTTTTATGCACTGTGATTAATGGCAATAATTCTATCATCTCTTCTCTTTGTGAAATGCTAACACTTGCTAAAGGCACTCATATTCTGGGCTTAACGGAGACAGGGTCACATGAGACCATAAGCCAGTACTTTTTTTGGTAGCTACCCAGAAAGGGAGTTTACAAATGTTCCTCCCATTATGAATGGGAGTCGAAGTCAAACAACTATCAGTAGAAATGTTTTATGAGAAGCTATTTACACAACTATTTGTCCAATCAGCTAGATTGACAAGAATAGCTCACAATGACAGGGCTTCTCCCACCAAAAAACAAAAACAAAACAAAACAAAAAAACCACTTTTTATTATGTGTGAAACTCCTAAACAACCATTTGGCTGGTAAGAAAAAAACAGTTAATAAGTCGATACGGTAGAATTTTTTTAAATATCTGTTCGAAAACCTACATTAAACTTTTGCCTATCCTGACAAAACATTCCTCAACTTATTTCTAAAGCAGTTCTGCTGTCCTTCTTACATGCCTCACCAAGTTCTTCAGAGTACTTCCAGCCTAAGTTCTGACACTGAGGAAACAAAATAGGTTAGGTTCCAAAACCACCATTCCTAGGCCTCTCTGCAGAGAATACTATATGGAACAGTTTACATGTCTCACCTGGCAGAGATGAGATTCAGTTTACGCAGGTCACAGGACAGTCCTCAAACTGTCATTGCTTTCAGTCTCTGCCAACTCAGGAAGGAATCATAAATTCCACCACTAATCCCCAGAATCTATCTATGGATGAAGATTTAACCAGATGTATACATATACACACGTACATACGTATTTCTCCATTTATCTTCGTTCAAACTGTAGATAGGTAGCTCTAAGCAACCATATAGTTCTGTAGAACAGCTTTGTAAAACAAGGTAAAAGAACTTGTGCATCTCATTAGCTAGCCTTTTAAGTCAGAGTGGTGTAAGGATGATCTCAGCCATGATTTTTCTTTCAACCTCAGGGCTTCAAAAATCCTAAATGGTTTTCTAAAGTTTACCAACTAATTAAAAAGAGAAACAGTGAGAAGAGTTGGGGGAGGAACTTTTTCAAAATGAAGGTTATAAAAAAAATTATTCACTTTGCAGAATTCAGTGCAATAAGAGACAAGCAGACAAACATGTTAAACAACATGCACATATTTACAAGTTGCAGGACATGATATACAAAGCCAAGACCAACAAAGTATTTTCTGTTCAGTATGGAGTCCAAAGGATTACAAGGCATACTCTTGTAACTGAACTTTTTTAAAAAAACCACTTTAAAGGCATATGCAATCCAATCTTTTAATTGAAACACTGGTGGTTTTCTTTTACAACTTCTTGCCCTCAATACCTAAGAAGAGTTTCTGTTATTTTCTACCAATGATTTCTTAATGACAATCTACACAAAGATATTCACAGAGAAAAGAGACTTTGATGCTGTGAGTTCTTATGGATGATTACTGAAATCTATTTAATTTTTTTGAATAAAGGTTTTCTGTTGCTTAGGCCTCTGTCCATCCTTGAATACAGCTTATAAAAAGACACTAACATGATTCCTGGGAAGCACAGGGTGCAAATCCTAAAGCATGTTACAGAGCAGGACTGGACTTCACAAAATGAAACCAACGGAGATCACATATCACTGACTCAGAAGAAACAACAGCCTACTTAGACAGGGATAAAACACTGCCTATATGGAATACATGAATATGAGAAACTGTACCATGCAGAGATGTATTTATATAGGCATTTCCTGCCTGACAACCTCTGTCATCCTTTGTTTCACCTATGGAACAAAGGAGAACTGTAAGGTAATTGTAAGGTAAAATACAACCTACTGTCATAGAGATCTGTGATTTTTTCAGATGTGCATGTAACCTCTATACATGATCATGGAAGTGATTTATCAACTTCCTGGAGTTTGGAAATTAAGGAGAAAATTGAGTTATTGTAGGCAATATGGTACTAAAGTGTCATATAAAACAAACATATAGTTATTTTTTAGTGCAAAGAAATATAGCAAGTAAGAAATAACACTATAAATCTAACTCTTTCTTTAAAAGAAAATGCACTTATGCATTCATAACATCCATTAAGGGCACTGGGACTCCAGAAACCTGAATACACAAGGCCTGACACACATCAAGCCCTTAAGTCCACTGCTTTCTATATGTATATAATGAAACTGGTAAGTGGGGAGGACAGGGGAAACCTTTCTTTTAATTTTATTTCCAAAGGAAAACCAAAAGTTTCCTTTGTCACCTTTATAAAATATAAATTCACATTCATATCTCTACTGTTATTTGAAATAAGGGTTCAATGAAATCTTCTCTATGATATCATATGTGTGTGGGGGGGGAGTGTATACCTACCTACAGAGAAAGAAAATGAGATTTTTAAGTAATCATAGAACCAAGTGGCCAGCACTATAATATTAAAATAGACCAAAAATCTATACTTAGCAGCAAAATGAGTAACCTACTGGCCAATAAGAAAAGCCCTAAATTGCCCTAAACTAATCAACTGTACTTTATAGATCACTGCAAAAAAGGTTGTTACACTAAAAGTCATAGGTCTAGATAGAATCACAACAGAATATTTCATTGTTCTGTTTCTGCAAGAAAAAAAAATTACCAAATAATTTTAATTTTCAAAAAACCACCACTTCAACAGAAGACAGTAACTTGATATTGTACAAGAAGTTAACCACAAAACTAATTTTTAAAGATGGGTTATGTCGTTTAAAAATTGTTTTAAAGTATTACAGGAAAGAAACAATGATTATAATTTGCCTCCCTCCAAAGTATTTGTCTTTAGAAATCTCAAGAAAAATAGGAGTTTTACCTTTAATTAGTAATATAAGCAATTACATGTGAATTGACCATAGTGCAAAGATACTGCTTAGTATAAACTTCCTGGTGAACATGGCCTTTCAAAAGAAGTGTGGATGAGCACCAGTCTTATCCATTGTAAAGTAAACTACTGTAAATACATGAAATTCAGTTAATGAAAGTTCACACAGTACTCCATTAGTTAATCTAGACATATACTATAGCTTATTTTAAAAATAAAAAACCAAAAATAATACTGTTATAATTATCAGATAACAAAATAATCTATAATATATTTTTAGTAACTTTGAAAAAGCCGAATTACAAAAAATAAAACCATAGTTCAATTATCTACTGGAAATGATATTGATACTTGATTTGCTTTTTTAAAAATTCCTCTCTATGTATAAAACAGCAGGTAGTGACATTTTTCAGAACTGCCAACAAACTGGCAGAACAGAAAAGAATTTTAAGTGAAGTATAAGAATCAGATCACCTAAAAAGTCTGCCAAAACAAAATATCAAGCAATCTTAACTTATGGTTGAGACCATCATATAAGTGTGTTATGATCAATGACAAAGTAACTCTAAATTGAAAAATTCACACACATCTTTTTGTTTCCTAATGTCAGCTGAAAAACATATTTTTAAAAAAATCATATCCACCTTAAACTCACTGAGTATTCAAATGTGAGGCTTGGAAAATCCACAGCACAGCTGGGACATGAAAATGAGCTTGTTAGACAAGCTGATTCAACTAGGAAAAAAAACAGAAAGAGGAGAGAAGGTAGTGGCAATTAAATGTGTAAAATCCACAACTGGAAATGAAGTTTAGCTGTTTGGAAGTACATAAGCATACTGGAAGTGTCTGAATTCAAGAAAATCCTACATTTCAATGATGGGGGGACATAATACAGGAAAAAAATGTCCTGAGAAAAGACTGACACAGTTTACAACAGTGTGTCCTACTAACAATGCATTTAGTTGGTGGTTCCAATGAAGCCTAAGGAAACTGAAATCTCTGCTTACCTACGTTTACCATGATCTGAAGAACTCAATACAATTATTTATTTAATAGCACATGGTGCTAGCAGACTGTATTGCCTAGAATAAAAAAAAAAAATAGCACATGAAATTAAAATTGAAAAAGATGAAATTTTTAAATAGTCATATTTCTAAGTGGTCAGGCTACTAGTCGACCAGAACTTGGGCAAAATAAAAAGTTGTTTCTGATGGGGTAGGTAGGTCACACTGTAAGTAGCTCAACACAATTGATCTGAAAAAGCATTATGACCTAAGAAGCTTGTTCTCCATCGCCCGCCCCCAGTTTTGACATCTCATGGTACCAGTGCAGGTTACATATATTAACATTAAGCAGAGGAATGTACTCATATCAAAAGGACCACAAAGCAGGGCGAGTTGACAGAAGGCAAACAACAGGCAGGACGAGCTGCTCTATCTGAATATGACGATCACTATACATATCCCAGGTTCTCCATCTCATTCCTGTACCGCTGTTCAGACACCTTGCTTTTATGTTGCTTGCTCTCTAAATGCTGCCGGAATTCCATCTCTTCACCAGCCCCAACATTACACATTGAGCAGTAAAACTGGCCACTTGGAGTAACGCACATGGCTAGATCACGTGGAATTCTCTGCCGAGAGCGGGGATTGAAGTAAGGACCTGCTAAAGCAAAAGATAAAATATATTCGAAATATTCACTAAGAAAAATTTTAATTTTCACTGTAATTTGTAACTCTAAATTCAAATTATAAAACTCACAGATTCTAAGCTTTAAATGAATGTGAAGGTAATGGATTTTTTAAACTACAATTTTATATAGGTTTGATCCAAAAAGATAAAATGATTCCTCCAACTATTGTCAGAAAATCTGCTGCAGAGCCAAACGCAAACTCCAAATGGCTATGTCTCTAAGAAAGTGAATACAATTTTAAAAATACTTTAATTTCTAAGCATTATATCAAAAGTCATATAATTATGCTAACCCTTTGTTCCAAAAACTGTACTTCTAAGAATTATCCTAAAAAAAACATCAAGAACTTGCACACAGAGATTTACCAGCAAGGACATTTATTTCAGTAGTGTTTATAAAAGCAAAAATTTAGGGGGAAGGGAGATCCAAAAATAGGATTTGAAAAATTATGGTAATATATGCAATGGAAAATTATGCAATCACTAAATATAATGCCATAGAAAACTCTTATAATATGCCAGTAAGTAAACCAAGAATATCATAAAATAGGATCCCATTTCTATATATTTTTTTTCTGTTAGAGACAGGGTCTTGTTATGTCACCAAGGCCACACTGCAGTGATATGATCATAGCTCACTACAGCCTCAATTTCTTAGGCTCAAGCAATCCTCCTGCCCTAGCCTCCCCAGTAACTGGGAATACAGGTGTACATCACCATGCCTAGCTAATTTTTTTTTTTTTTTTTTTTAGAGACAGGGTCTCCCTAATGTTGCCCAGGCTGGTCTAGAATTCCTGGCCTCAAGTGATCCCTCCATCTCGGCCTCCCAAAGTGCTGGGATTACAGGTGTAAGCCACTGTGCCCAGCCCCATTTCTATTATAAAGAAGTAATATATACGAACAGGTTGGGATAACAGCCACAAAAATGTTAGTGATGAGACTGATAATTTTATTTTCTTCTTTTTACATTACTAACTTCCTAAACTGGACTATTAGTTCGTTAATTTTTTGCTTTTCTTTTCTACTATAATAATAAATATTTAACACTTTTCTCAAAATACTGCTTTCACTGCATCCTACAAATTTTGATATATTTTCATTACTGTTTGGTTCTAAGAATTTTTCATTTCCAGTATAATTTCTTCTTTGAACCATGAGTTATTCTGAAGTGTTTAAAATTCCCAGATGGAAATTTTGTTTACTTTTACTAATACACTTTTGTTTGTTTATCTTTTTAAACCCTGCCAAGTCTGAGGAATGATTTTTTATTTTTGTTACAGACATATCATTTAATTATCCTCCGGTCAGAGAACATAGTCTATATTACCTTCATCCCAAAATTTATTTTATCTGATATTAATACAGCTATCCCAGTTTCCTGCATTTCCGCTGGATTTCTTTTACCCAATTTGATAATCTCCATTTTTTAACTGGGACTTTAATAAATTTACATTTATTATAATTACTAATATATGTTTAGACTTACTAATCATATTACATTGTGCTTTCGATACATCCCTTTTTACTAAGCCTCTCTTGCCTTTCAATTAACTTTGTCTTTTGTTTATTTTACTGTTCACATAAATGATCTCTGCTGGCATGTGTATATATCACAGGCTAAGGTAGAGGGGAGGATGGGGGACTACTCAGTCCTACTCTCACTACTGAAAACAATCTGAATATGCAGAAAACATTCCTATTAATGCATGGTTGTGAACTGAATATGTATATAAAATCACCAAGGAAGCATTTTCGAAACACACATATGTCTGGGTCCGACTCCAAATTTACTGATTGAAAATCCCTTAAGTCATGGTTCAGGCATTTTGTAAAAACTCCCCAGGTAATTATGATTCACTACCCTGGTTTAAAAACCACTGCTACAGTCTTTTGTATTTTCCCCCAAATTTGAAATTAAACATGGTGCAACTTTAAACCAAGTAGTCCATTCTTATCATGCATTTTACATTGCTCAGTTGGAAAACACCGGAAGAAACATAAAGGGAATATGATAAAAGACCCTAAAACATAGACTATGATTTAAAACCAAAATAAATAATATGCTAAATAGGAAGTAAATAAATAAGACCTGAAATAAATACCAGCCTGACTGAATAACCACTATACCAATTCAATATAATAATGACTAAACCCAAATTCTCAGGGCTATCTATTACCACTAAAGGAAATAAATTAAAGGAGACTATTTGCAGAAGACATATGGAAATACACAGGATACCTGAATTATTCTGTACTGTATACATATTTCTCCTAGTAGGCATCATCTTAAATTCATTCCCTTCTTTCCGGGCCCGCCGGTGGCCCATCTCTGAGGAATCCCTAGAGAAGAGAAATTTTAAAAGAGTGAGATTTCTAAACAAGAATCCCTTTCAATTCTTTTTCTTTAAAGAGAGTCTGACATAACACTTTGGCCTCAGAGAAAATGGCAATACCTACGAGAATGAGTTACTCTGAGCTTCCGCCAGCCGCAGCCTCTTGGCATGATTCTTCCCTTGATAGTGAGCCTGAGCCACAGCCGGAGAACTGAAGGAGGCATCACAGAGCTTACAGTAATCATTCTCTGTGGCCAGGATCACTCTGCCTCCTGGCTTAAAGGAGCCCACCTGACATCAAAAACATAAGACAAAACAAAGTTAAAAAAATATGGAGCTTATTCCCTCCTCCTCCTCAAAGGTTCTTCCAAGAAATGAAAAACAAAGGATATGGCATGACCACAAGCACTCAACCTCTTAACAAAAGAAAATAATTCATTCTAGAAATAAAAGGCTGGGAGATACTTAATCATGGTCTTACATTATAATCACCTATGTACCAAATTAACAAATGGTTCATTGCTACCTCCACTGAAGTAATTTTAAAAATGAGTTTAAAAACCCTAACATGGAAGATTTAGGGCAATAAATAATGGGTAATATTAGGTCTGGCCTAAAATCACATTACCAGAAAGAGTAAAGTCTGCTCAGAATCCATTAATAAGCATTTACTGAATGCTGTTTATTAGGCTTGCTGCCTCATCCAGAAGGGGCATATAGCCATATATTTAAAAAAGAGCCCCTGTCATCCTAAAAGAATCTACAAACTAGCTACAGATAAAATATAATCAGGGAAGAATAAGGAACAGATCGAGATGACTGTATTCAGGTTGGGAAACAATATGTTAAGGGAAACCTAATATAGTACCTGGAAGATAGTAGGTACTCAATAAATATTGTTGGGTTAATGAAAATTGGCACAATAGATTTCAGCTAGAAGAAAATAATATACTATATGTTAAAGATTCTGAAAACCATATGTATCATGAACAGTCAAAGAAAATAGTGTTGTTTCATCCAGAAGGGAAGATCTTCTGGGGATAGTCTAGCTACTTCAAAAATCACAAAGGGCTATATGCTATGAAGAAAGGTTTAGACTGTTTGTCCAGAAGGATGGAGCCAACTGAAAACAATCCGAACGAGGAGCATCCATTCAATTTCAGAGCAGCCTTCAGGAACCAGTAATATGAAAACTGTTCAACTTGAAGATCTCTCTGGGTATATTCCTGTTCTCTGATTCTATTCTTAATATATCCCATTTCCCCCACAAATCCATGAGAAGGAAGACAGCTGGAAGTGCTACCCAATCTTTAAGTACTAAAAACTGACACTCAGAAAGGTAAAATTATACCATGATGCTTGGAGAAAAGGTCTAAGATGAAAAGAAATTCTTGCTCCACTGCTCTGCAAAACATCTAACACTGTGGAAAGTTACTTATCTGAGTTTCTAATAATTTCCAGTGAGGCGGATGGTGCTGGCTCATGGATTACACTTTGAGTAATAAGGCCAAAACCTCTAAGTTGTTGCAAGCATTAAATAAAGCCAGGGCCTGGGACTGGAATGAAGCAAGTAAGACACTTGCCTTGAGTACAGAATTTAAGGGAACATCAAAAAACTCAGTAATCAAGATAATAATATTTTAATATAATAATTTTAAAAATCAAATCATCTAATGCAAAAAATTTGATGAACAAAATATCAAAATTTTAAATATTTAATCAGTAACAGTGCCATGCCAAGCCATATTGTAGCCTGAGGCAAAAGGGAAATCAGTAACACTTATCCTGTCTTTGTTTTTGATGTTTTGTTCACCACTGATCTTTTTACATTAATTTTGAATTTCTAAAACATTGCATTAAATATTTATCTTGATTACTGAGTTTTTTGGCTCCCCCTTAAATTTTGTGCCCAAGCCAAGTATATCCCTTACCGTAACCTAGTTCCATCCCTAAATGAAACAACATATGAAAAGTGCTTAGCACTGTGCCTGGCATATTAAGTAATCAATTATAGTTATTATTATTATTTATAACCATATATTGTTTTATAGACAAATAACACTTCAAAGATAGATTTTGCAGTAGAATCCACAGTTCAGAGGCTACTAAGGTACAGAAATATCTTGTCTAAATCAACTGGCTCCATCTTCCAAAAAGCAAAAAGAACCTGGCTCTCAAGTATGTCTCATAATAGCAAAGTCCAAAAAGTGTTTATACAGGCTGTCAGCATAGAGGTAGGTAAAGGGCAATCTCAAGAAACTAATCTTGCAAATGGAAAATGAAATCTGAAGTAAATGGGATTAACTGCAATAAAGACATAAATGTTTAAAAATCTCTCTTTTCATTCAGGGCTTAGCCTAAACATTCAGGATGATTCAACCTAGAATTCTGAGAAATACATAAAGACTCATGTAACAATATTTGTTTCATCATTTCATGCATCACAACCAGAGCCAATGAGAAATCTCAAGGTTTATAGATTTTGGCATGCATTAAATCTAGCACCATATAGTTCAAGGAGTTAAAAGTACCAAGGAGCATCTTTAAGGATTATTTGCCTAACTGTACCCTGATGGACACATGGACAACAAATTTCATTCATGACCATTTGTACACATGACAGCTTCTCCCCTAACGCTGCTTCATCCAGACACATCTCACCTGTGAAGGGACTGGAACAACTGGAGTAGCTGCGGGTTCCACTGCATGGCTCATTCTGGCAGGAGGAGGACAGCTATTTGCTGCATAGTAATTTCGGAGTTTCTTACCATGATTTTTACCCTGGAAGTAAAAATAAAATGAGTATAACAGTTCCCCACTTATCCACGGTTTTGCTTTCAGTTACCCCACTTACTGTGTTCCAAAATATTAAGATATTTTGAGAGAAAGAGGCCATATTCATATAACTTCCATTATAGTATATTCTTACAATTTTTCTATTTTATTATTAGTTCTTGTTTATATTTTATTGTGCCTAATTTATAAATTAAACTTTATCTTAGGTATATATGTATATATATATAAGAAAAAACATAGCATATATAGAGTTCGGAAGTATCCCAGGCATTCACTGGAGGTCTTGGTATCCCCTGTAGATGAGGGAAGATGACGGTAATCACCAGGAGGAAAAGGTGTAGAGTTCATTCATGTATCCATTTTAAAAAAAGAAAAACCACAAACAATACTGACTACATTTTATCCTTTATACACAACATCGGGGTAAGGAGACCACTAGCTAGATTTGACTACCAGATTTGGACGTAGAAGAGTCTACTCTTGGGCTCTAACAGAAGGATTAAATTTATCTGGGAAAGATAAGAGAACAAAGCCAAAAGAAATTAATTTCCTATATGTTTCTGAAAAGTATCACATTTTCCAGTGATCTATGTCCTTACCCAACTTGTTGCCATTCATATGCCACTGTTTAAATATGAATTTCACAACACTCTGATCTAATCTACTTTATAAGTCAGTAATGAAATGGATAATCCAATTATTTGTACAAAAATAGCACTTAAAGTATCTTTTTACTTACAAAGGATGTTCATGTGCATTAGCTCATTTGCTGCTCACAAAAATCCTCTAAGAGGAATCTGTTAACATTATCCATATGTGACAGCCAAGGAACTGCAATCCAGAGAGTGGGGGTCACTTGCCCCCAGACCCTTTCAGAAGGGCTGAGTAGTGGAGCCAAAGCTACAGCAAGCCTTCCAAAGAATGGCCCATTCTCACTACAGCATGATGGCTTCAGGATACACTGGGAACCACTATTAAAATAGATTTGCCTTTCTCATCATGTTTTGTTTAACTTGATTCATATGATTATATTCTTTGAGCTGACACAAACTGGTGGCAAGGGTAAATGTGCAAAAGTATTCTAAACGAGGGCAAAACAGGTTATTCTTCTTTAAACTGCATTGTAAAATTCAAACCTATAAGCAAACACTTATTCACCATTTACTATGTGCTGGAGCCCTAGAAATAAATTAAGGGCAAGCACACAGGCAAGCATACAGCACACAGGAGACAGATACATAAGCGGTTAATTAAAGTAATGAACTAGCTTCCATCTTCGGCCCACTCAAATGCCCTAAAGGTGCTCTTACCATGGTGACAGTGACCTCCAGAGTCAAATCCAGCGGTCACATCTGTGTCTTCATCTTACTGGAACTCTAAGCAGCATGACACAGCTACCCTTCCCTCCTGATTGTCATCTATGACTCCCTCTTTCCTCCCCAGTGTCTCTACCAGACCTCTAAACTCTATAGGGCCCAAGGCCTACACTGGGCCCTCTTCCCTCTCCATCTACACTCTGACCCTAGGTTACTTTACCCAGTCCCACAGCTTTAAGATACAATGAGTAAGTTAGTGACTCCCAAAATTATTCTAACCTTCAGAACCATATATGCAATGGCCTCATTGCCATCTGTGTTCTGAAGTCCTAAGAGGCATATTCAACTGAATGTTACTTTCAATTCCTCCCCCACAGAACTTTTTGTCACCACCACCACCACTAGTCACCCACAGTAGGTAAATGGCAGCACCATCCACAAGATTACTCAAGAGCCTCTTCTAAATTTCATCCTTCCCTAAACCCAAAACATCCATTCCATCAGCAAGTCTTGCATTCAAAATATAGCCCAAGCCTTTCCACTTCTCTGCATGGATACTACAAATACCACAGCAATCCAAGCTACTGACATTTCTCACTTGCATCAGGCAACAGCTCCTAAGTGGTCTCTGCCCTCAATCTTGTCCCCTTTATAATTCTTCTCTTTATCAAATGAAGTGATAATGCTAGACATGAATCAGATAATGTTGCTCCCTCACTTAAAATCTTCCAGTGGCTTCCTACTACACTTAAAATTCATAATTCTTCTCATAAGGTCCTATAAGACCTGGCCCTGTCTACCTCCCAGATCTTACATTAGATGTACTCCTTTCCCCTACTCATTATGCTCCTTCCACACTGACCTGCTTCTGTTCCTTAAACATACCAAGCTCACTCTAGCTCCAGGGCCTTTGTACTTTCTGTTCCTTCTGCCTAGAATATGACTCTTGCAGATCGCTGGCTCCTTATCTTTCAAGTCTCAAGTCAGTGTCTCGCTCACTCTCAAGTGTCACAATTCTCACTCCTGCCCCCTGACTCCTGCCACACACACACACACACACACACACACACACACTCCATCACATTACTACATTGTCGGTTCTGGTTTTATCTTAGTACCACCTATCACTATCTAAAATAACATTGTTTGCTTACTTGTTTTTTCTCTTTCCTCCCCTATGGAATGCAAACTCCTTGAAAGTAAGGGTCTTGTCTGTCTTGTTTACTATTCTACCTTCAATGCCTAGAATGGTTTCTAGCATAGAGTAAGCAAGCAATAAATAATTGTAGGATAAATGAATCAAGTATTATAATGGTGACAATAAACTGCCAGAAGAACACAGAGAAGGAATTCTTACTTCTACCTGAATGTGTTGGGGAAAGCTTACCTGAAAAGAGGGACATTGAATCATCTTTTTAAATGAGCAAAAGTTTACTGGAGAAGTAAGAAGTGAGAGAAAGAGAAAACTGTGCACTGAAGAAAGAGCACAAGAAAAGGCCTAGCCTGTTATGTTGAAGAGCCACAAGGAGAGATGACGATCCCCTTTGGAGAAGAGTTAGGAGTTGAGATACACAGGGGCTCATCCTTAATGGTTTTCTCCATGATATAGAACTGGGACTTCAGAAGCAGCAGGCAGCCTCTGGGAGACTTTAAGCAAAGCAGTGACGTGATTTGATGTATATGATAAAGATCATCATAAGATCAGCATGGGGGATAAATTAGAGTAGACCAAAGCTAGAAGCTGGGAAGATACAAAGAGAGTCAGGGACAAAGCCCTAGGACACAACAATACAGAGTATGGTAGATAATGAGGATGCAGAAAATGAGAGTGAGAATGCTGGCCTACGAAGTAAGATGAAAATCAGACAACGCGTTGTCATGGAAGCCCAGAAACAAACTGGAGCTACAGTGTGGTCAGGCTGGAGATGGAATCTAAGCAGTTACAGCATGTACATGGTATTTAAGATCATGAAACAAAAAATGATTACCTAAACAGAATGAAGATAGGTAAGAGCTTCTAAAATGGGTCTGGAGCAAGATAATGCCTGGAGTGAGGGAGAAAGACACAGAACTATGAAGAAGGTAAAAACAAGTAATGACAAATTAGATATGAGGGAGGTAAACCACAAAGTAGATGGGGATAACAGTTATAAAAACAAACAAACAAACAAACAAAAACATTTAAGAGTGTGGAGGAGAGAAGGTTTTGGAGAAGACAGCATCAACCTGTTGGGATTGAGAGACATCTGCTATTGCAAGACATCCTGATGAATCCTGAAGAAACCAAGAGACAGTACAACATGTAGATTATCACTAAGGAAGTCAAGGCTAAGAGGGTTTGAGAAATTTTCTAAAAACAAGCAGGATTTGAATCCACAGATCTCAAGGAGGATAACAGGGTTAAATTATTACTGACTACCTCCTATGTGCTAACCACCATTCTAAGAAATAGAGATAAAATGGTGCACAAAGTCCCTGCTCTTACAAAACTTTTCCAGTGGACATACATGTACATATACACACATACAGGCATAAGCAAAGAAAAAAGATTTGAGTGAGAGACACTGCTCTGCAGAAAACAAAAGAGGATGATATAATATATAATGGGCAGGGAGAAGGTGGGGTAGGCAGATAAGGCTTCTCTGAAGAGCACTGTGAGTTAAAAGCTGAAGAATGAGAAGGCTGCAACTGTGCAATATAGAGAAAGAGGAAAGAGATGGGCCTCAAGAGACTTATTTGGCCATGTTAAGTCTGAGATCCCGTTTAGATGTCCAAAGAGAGACCAATTTGGAGTACAGGTGTGAGGTCAGGTTAAAGACCTATCTACTACTATCAGTACATAGATAATAGTATTTAAAACCATGGAACTGGGAAAAAAAACAATAATTAAGACAACAACAAAAAACACAGAACTTCGTAAGATTATCCAGGTGGCCTGGAAATAGACAGTGAAGGATAAAACTCTAAGACACTACAATGTAGAGTGTGGTAAAGAATGAGGAATCAAAAAATGAGACTGAGAATACCTGGCCTATGAAGCTGAAGACGGGGTAAATGTAGTATCCTGGAAGCCTAGAACAACCCTGGCCCAAAAGTAAGTTTAGGTACATCATGACCTCGAAACTCTGCTTCTAGGTGTTACCTAACAGAAACATATCCACTAGGAGATATCTGTAAGAATGTTCCTAGAAAGACTGTTTTTTAACAGCAAAAAAAAAAAAAAAAAAAGGAAACAACTAAGTGTCCATCTATAGAATAAATTGTAGTCTATTCATATAATGGAATACTAAACAGTAGTAGTGAAAATAAACATTCCAGGGCCATGCATGCTAACACGAATGATTCTTGTAACACAACAGCTGAATAAAAAGAGCAAGCTGCAAAAGATATGTAAGAACAATTTTTAATATGGGGTTTAAAAACATGAAAAATGATACATATTATTAATATATAGGTAAATACATATGTTGTAAAAGTACAAAAAAAGGTATGGTAACAATAAATACCAATTCATGGCCGGGCGCGGTGGCTCACGCCTGTAATCCTAACACTTTGGGAGGCCGAGGCGGGTGGATTGCTCAAGGTCAGGAGTTTGAAACCAGCCTGAGTGAGACCCCGTCTCTACCAAAAATAGAAAGAAATTAATTGACCAACTAAAAATATATATAC